GATTTACAACCAAAATTTTTTTTCTTTACAAAAAATTGTACTTCATTCCTTTTTCAACAGACTATTTTAAACTAAGATTCAATATAAAAGAACTATCATTATGACCTTGATTCAAGAAATTCTGAATATTAACAACAACGTCATCTTTGCAACTTTTCTAAACACCGCCTCTACCTCCACCATTATCAATATGAATTAAATGTCTTTACCTATTGTATCCTAAATGACTAAATCCGTCTCATTTAGTACTTGCTAATAGTTCTTCCCAGCTATCAGTTCTCTTTGTTTTGCTCAAGACACTTACTTGTTTCCACCCCCTCCACAAAAATTAAATCAATCCAAACCAGTATTTGCACATAAAAACATTTCGTCATGACTTCTCAATAACACAATAATACTTATAAAATGATCTCTATAGCACACTTTTAGCAAACTCTTTACTCACAATATGTTATAAACCACAAATCCCGCTTGTCTATCACCATTGCGACATCAAATAAAAATCTATACGTGTTTTTTCAATTACCTACTTCTTCTTACAAAAATCTAAGTATTACAATTCAACAGTTATAATTCGTTTTTAATAGTGTGGTATCTCGTTTCATTCAACTAAATTTACCTATTTATATATTCTAAGACTTGATTTTGTCTACACAACATTAGCTCTATTGAGATCAGTTCAGTATCTACTCCAATCTAAAACTAAATATAAGTCTTTTTACATAACACAATCTAATAACAAAAGTTAATAAACATGCAATCTGCTCATAAGTATTTTGATAGTTGCTTTGAAAAAAACTTATCTATTCCATTTTCAATTACGTTACAGATTAATGGTTCTAATGATCGCTAATTAAACTGATCTACACTATTTACTTTTTCCTATTTTATTATTATTCTGAATTGAGGTGAACGCCCTAGTTTTTAACTGATGTTATAGATAAATACACTAAGATTAAGGACAAAAACTTGCAATAGTTGTTGTTTTACAAGTGAGATCAAGCAATCCAGAATTAAAGTGTTATTTTCTCTTGTTTGGAGTATAGTACCATTTTCTAAATTAACACTTGGAGCAAGGAAATTATTGTAACTTGTCTAAAAAGTTTTGCTGGTACTGGATCATTTACTTCCTATACTTAGCCTATTAGTACAACCTTCTTTGCTTAGCTATAATCACTTCCGCCCACCGATCAAATTACACAAATTAAAATCCTACCGCTCATCCAATCAAAAATAGAAAAGTTTGAGTAAAAATATTATTAAGTATATTCTCTCAGTTACTTAAAAAGAGACACACTTCCTATTTCAATATGACTAGCACACCTTAGTGAACATGTATGTATCCACTCAAAATCCTCGCCCTAGAGAATAAAAAATATTTAGCACTTCTTTCCATATTGTCCTCCTACTTTATTCAAAAATTACACACTCAATCAAAATCATACATCATTTTAATTATTTATTCCCCAATATACTCTATAAACTGGCTGTTCTACTTTTTTAGTGTTGTTACTCACCTGTAATTATGAAATGAATATTTTGAATGAATCTTCAAGTATCAACCTATCCGCAGAAAACAAATTCCAAGATAGGCGTAGCGAAAGCTACTGCTCTATCAAAGCACTTCCCTTACCCGTACGCAAATTTGATTCGAATATCTCTTATTAATCTTCGGCATATCGCAAAGCAGCATACATTATAGTATATTACTAACTCTGCAACCAGGTCTTAAATCGATATTAATCATAGATTGAAACTTTTATGTTCTATTCTTATTAAGTTTTTCCCCAATTATGATTTGTTATGAGCAATATGATTGTTAATTACTATTCGTTCGTATTTATGCATCTTCTAATTTGTTTAAAACATTGAGTACCATATACTATAGCTCCATATAAATCTCACTTTAATGTTTTGATATATAATTAATTCAAATTAAGAATTACATATTATCTCCAAAATAACTCAAATCATATGTAACATTGCAGAAAACATCTAACCATCGCTAATTCATTCATATCTAAAAGACAAGAAAATATATAAGCCATATCTTTTGTAGTTTGTTTTACTTTCTTTATACGTTCCACCCTCTTGCTATAATAATAACGATATATAAATATTTACTATTCACCATTGTGAATAAAGTTAGGTTTTAAAAAGTTTCTTACCGATACATTCTGATTTAAGCATGTTTTCTGTTATCTCTATCTCATATCGTTGGTTGCTTAAATGATTTATACTATTCTTTCTTCTGATTAGCCTACATAGTTCACCTTAAACCAAGTTGTTTCTCAAAACTAATAATTCCAGCATATAACCAACATTTATTCAAAGAATTTCGTACCTCAAAGAATCTTATATTTGTTATATTCGATCAAATCTAAATTAGATAAAATACACATCCATTTACTATGTCTGAATAAAAATTATGGTGATGTCTCACAGTATTTTCTGTAGTAACTCTCCTACCTATTTCCTGTATTACTCTCCATCATTAACGTACGAACACGGTCTATACCTATCTCTGATGATAAAGCCTCACTCTTTACACCGCCCCCAATTCATCCCCGTCACCCTAAACATACCCCAACTGTGCACCCACATACTACTTTCAACAACGAACTAAGCACCTTTTTCTTTTACCCCACACGTTCCCACGTGTAATCACTTGCAATTATCGCACTGCTTTCTAAATTAATAATTAAACCATACTTATTTACGAAGGAAGACGATTTACTGCCCGATTGCTTATCAATAATAACCCAACATCTAAAAAAAATGTACTGTCAATCCCACTTGACTGACCCTTTATTTATGTAAAATGTACTTCTTAAAGTACTATACATCACACACAGAATCATTCATATTCCACTAATTTATGTGTTAAATTCGAATAAATTCTAAAAAAACAATAAAAAATCCACGGAAAATAAAAAAAAGAGTTTAAGTTAATATTTGTAACTATAACCTCAAAAACGCTTAGCTTTCTTCATCACACCCATCAATCACTATTTTCTATCATCTTTTTATTCTCTTAAATGGATTTCACATTAAAATACAGCATAACTATATTATCTAACTTTTCTTCTCTCTCACGTTTGCGAAGACGTAGTAAATAACATTGTCTATTATCTGTGTTATAGTTTTTTTAAGGTAAACTGTATAATTGCTTTGTATAATTTTGAGATTGATGTTTCACAAAGAATTGTTTGAATCTATCAATTTCTTCTTGACATCTTTTTCTTTTGTATCTTTAATTGGTTTCTTTCTTTTCCTTTCTTTCTCTTTCCTCAAGATCTCTAGTGAAAAATATGGTGTTCTGCTTTGTGTGTAAGAGGATTTACAACATTTGATATTACCATATGTTTTGATACAGTCGTTATTTTCCAAAGAAAAAGCTGTTACTCAATAATTTATCCAAAATACTCCTTGTTTGTAGGACATTTTTGTCTTTGTTCTCTTTCAAGTTATCTAGTATAGTAAAGAATACAGTTTCTTTTACATTTACATTGAAATGTTTATAAACATATTTGCAGAATCGTTTTTTTGTATATGATAAATATGTTCCTGTATCCTTTCTTTTATTTTCCTTTGTAGTTAATCTACATATTGATATCCACATTCTAAGCAAATTCAGACAATAGATTACGTTTTTCACTGCAACAGTTAGCTTGATTTTCTTGATGTATTAATTTTAGTTTCTGGTGTGTTGATATAATATAATTCTTTTTTTCTATAATATCACACTTTTACATCCATTTTTCCAATTGTTAAGTTGATATGTGGCCAAAATTATCTAAACAATATATGCCGTTTATCTTTGCTTTTATAAGAAACTTGGTTGTAGTAATAGTTTTGTTTATTTATCTTAAAGTAGGCCATAGTGGAAGTATGTGAGGGCCTAACCCACATACTCGGTATGGGAAGTTTGAGGGGACTGCCCTAGGTACTGCGACCTGAATATAAGCTTACAATGTATTGGAAGATGTGTAATATATCTTTTATTGACCCTTTGAAGGCGTGGTACGTACCCAAGCTCGTACCCACTTTTTATACCCTATCAAAAAGAGCCCCTATCTTTTAACGAGGTATGGCCCCGTGTTTAAGGAGTTGTGTATTACAATTTGTTACTAGATGAGACGAAATGAAGAAAAAAGAAAGAATAGAAATGAATTTGTTTAAAATAGTATGTGTGGTGATTGTTTGAATATGCAAGTTGAAAATAACTTTTATAAGTTGATTAGTTTTTGAATTCAGTTCAGAAAAGTATTTATTAAAGAGATTTTTTAAAGAGATTTTTTAGATGAGACGAAATGAGGAAAAAAGAAAGAATAGAAACCAATTTGTTTAAAATAGTATGTGTGGTGATTGTTTGAATATGCAAGTTGAAAATAACGTTTATAAGTTGATTTTCTTGAAAAGTTAGTTTTTGAATTCAGTTTAGAAAAGTTTTTATTAAAGCGATTTCTTGAATTTCAATGAAAGTAGGGGAGTTATTATTACATATTGATCAATTTCAAGATAAACATTCAACACTTTTTGTGTTGTTAGCACCCATTTTATGTTAGATGTTTGATTAGATTTTATAAGCTTTAAACAATCCTGTTTTGTTCAGACTATTCAATGGAATAGACGAAGAAATGCATACACAGAGAGGATATATAAGCGTGTTCTTATAAACTGGGTGAGGATAACCGGCTTAGTTAACAAGGACAAATGGAAGTACGACAGATTACTTGCGTATTTTGCTAATTCAATTTTAGGGTAAATTATCAGTCTTCTTATAACTTAGTGTACCTTAATTTTACTTAATTATTAGAAAATTTTCAGTTATTCTTGTGATGGTAAATCGGCAGCTTTCTCTTGGCCTACGTCCGCTGGTTTTGACAAACAAGGCAACCAAGCTATTCGAGTTTGTTTCATATATGATTCTTTATTTTGTATTATATTGATAAGATATTTTTCAGGCTCAAGTATCCTATGACTTTTGGCGATACTTCATGAGTGAAGGTCGTCACCGACTTTCTGAGTATAATAAGACTAACGGTGCCAGTATATGTATGCTGAAGGAATTAACGATGAGGGCTAGTGATGAAAATAATCTGGGGTAAGTTTCTAAAATCAATTCCAATATGGATTAACAATTTGTTTGATTTTATTTCAGCCTTTTAATAAGAAAGAAACTGACCTCTATTTATAACAGCAATTCAGTCAAGGTACCGGATATGCGCGTACGAAAAGGGTTCTTATCAATTGGAAAAAATCTGGTAAGAGGAATTTTGCTATTTTTGGTAGAACAATTTATCGAATAGAATATTATAGACGATTAGATCTTCTCTCGCCTTTGTGAAGTTTGGATTAACTCTCCCGGAATGGAAAGGAGTGCCAATAGAGGAGCTTCTTGATGATGAGGAAAAGGCCGATTTGAAAGTACGTTGAATATTTTTCTATGTTACTTAAGTTCGATAAATATTTGTTTTTCAGTCTGGAAAGTTGGCTTACGGTTGTCTTCCATTACCTGGTATAGACAATCTACCTTCATCTAATGCAGTGGACACTACATCTAATGTATGTTGTTACTATGATAGCTGATTCATCAATGGAGTGGTTCATTTTTTAAAATTTCTAGAACTTTTTAGGTTGCGAATTTACCATCATCCAGCGGTGCTAGTAGTAACTAGCAATGTTCATTGTGTCAAGAATCAGTTTCTTGGGAATTACTTTTGTTTTTAATATATTGTATTGGATTGTTCTCGAATATACTTGAGAATATTTGAAATAAAAATGTTTTTATATTTTGTGTCTACCATGTATAATTCTTCAATAGAAGTTTTGATAGTATAGTTATTCTGAAATCAAATATAGTGAATTACCTTCGACACGTCAAATTTTTGACGTTATGAACGACCTTTGGTCGGAATAGAAGAAACAAATCGACCATTTGGTCGTGATAGGAGAGTTGACAATCAAGATGAATAGAACTAACTGATGGAAAATTTTGGTTAGATTTTACGAGTGTGTGTATTGATATGATTAGGGAAAGTATTACTTTTGCATGAAATGATTTACAGGAAATTCCACTTCATTACTTTAGAAATCAGAAATTATATCAAAAAATATTAAGTGTTAGTTTAAGGAGAACGGATGAGTTCAACTATTAAATTTTTTGAAAATATACAATTCTAGATATAGACATCTGACTGCTTGTTGATTGAAAATAGTATATATTACGTAAATTTGTTTTGGTAAAATCATTATGATGACTAATACATAAGTTTAATTAGACTGATTTAAATTTTTACCCTTAGAAAGGTACTAGTGCCACACAGTGTCGGGTTGCCCTCGAGCTACTGTATGACACTAGTATATGTAATACACTTTACTTCTTGTTTTGTTTTATTCTATTTAGAATATCTATTTCAGCCATTCAACATTTGTAATTTTGTCTATATTGCTCTATCTAATATTATTTTGATAACATTTCATCTTTGTATTTGGGGTTTGGGAATCAAAGTTATAGTCTAGTCTCCGTTTCGCACGTGCCCTTAGACGGAGGCTAGACGAATTTCTATAACCTTCCTCTGTGCTCATCAGTAAGGGAAGGAAGGAAAAAGTGTTCAGATTCAGACTGTTTATCTTTGTATTTTTGGATATGTAAAACCATCCCAACAAGTGCTTGATCAACAGCAAATGCTTTATCCTTTATACTTTTAATCTCTAGAACAAACGCATGAATCGACCATTTATCGATAGCAAATGTACTCGTGGCTTTGTAAGTTTGAATCTTTCAATGTACAAATACGAATTGGCGCCTTGTGATATATAATAAATTATGTCTAAAAACTCTGAAATTAGAGAAAACATAATCTATAATTCGTAAAACATGCTGAAAAAGATATGACGATGTAGTGTAATCTTCAATCGAATCAAAGTTGCTGACAGCTAGGCACTAAACGGATGAACGAGAAAAATAGGATGGATATATAATCGTAATGGACAAGTTAAGGATGTCGAAACATTCCTTGTGTCCATTGAAAAACACATGCACACGCTCATTCAGAAACATGGCACATACGGATGATGACGTAATAGCAGTAACAACAACAATGTAGTTCTTGCAACAATACTGCTACTTGTAATAATTTTCTGATTCGAATAAAAATTATAATTAACCGTAAGGACCATCTCATACACACTGTCCAAATCTGCCACATATGAAGATTCGAAATTAGTTTGTGTTTCAATGGTAAGTAGTATGAATCTAAGCTGAGAAGTATAACATTATACTAAAAATGCACAAGAGAAGAGAAAAATATTAGAAATTGGCGCAGAAATCATTACCGATATAGAAATCATCATAATTTGTAGCCTAAATTGAAAGCGTGTGTATGTATACCAGTACCAATCCGCATTTGGATCGATATCAGCGTGGATCACAGAAGAGGAAGCAGTCTGCTAAAAAAACATAAGAAAACAAAGTCGCCGATGAACTACGTCATCCGATTAATGAGCAATCTATAACGGTTAACGCACATGCTAGTGAGAAATCTCAATCTATAAACTCAATACACGACTCTCAAATATCAAGAAACAATCTATTAATTAACTAATCTGATGAGGCAAGCCATTTTAGTATATAATGGGCAGGAAACGCGTCCTTATTACGACTGACTTTGTGCATAAAGGAAACAACACTCGAATAAAAAAAATACTGCTTGGTGGTATCGATTCAAAATACATGATAAATTGCTAACATCAGAAAGAGTAATCGTATTAATGCCATGGACGCTGAGATAATCGCGGAAGCTCCATTTCACATACGCTTGTTTGTCGACGTTTCAGGGGGCTGTGGAGCATCCAAGATCTATAAATCAGGTAATCCAATGTATGCTAAGTGGACCACTATTGGAAGTGAGTAGTCACTAATATATGCGTCACATCTCTTCTGTCTCTCCATCACCCCCACCCCCCCCCCAATCTCCAGAATCGAGGAAGTATAAGCGGTTCGTATGGCTTTGATGAATATGACACCTCGCTTCCGCCTCCCCCTCCTGAAGTCTTCGATAACCGACGATTGTCGCAGAGCCCAGTTCAACCTGACATCCCTACAACTCCTTCACATAATCCAATATAGTGCGTTGCATAGGACACCCCCCAAAAATATGAATATCTCGCCTTCTATCCTTTAACAAAATTTTCGTGATCGTTACCTAAAGATGTGATGATGCGTAACCTCATCCTAAGTTCCAGACCTGAAGTTTCTCTTCTCTGGTTTCAGTCAGAACGCCTAACGAGCACGGCAGCACGCTTCGCAGAGCCCTACGCTTGTTGTCCATATCAGTGATTTTGCTATAGGATTTCATTTCTATCCTCTCTTTCGTAGAGCTGACACAGGTTGACCGTTCATGGTGATTTTGTTTGATGTAATCTTCGAGGTTATAGCTAAGCCTTTTAGAGAACTCCTGCTGTTTATCCTGGTGCACTCTTACCTCTATTCGTACAGTTGGATTTGGAGCACCAAGCTATGGTTTTCTTTGAGCTCCTAAAAATGGCTTCGATGCTCATGGTAGAGCCATCAGGCGCTTATAAAAAGAAAGTCTGGCTTTCACTCGCGGAGGGAAAGGGAGCATTTTAAACTATAACTCTAATAGAGTTACCATACACCGGAAAAGTGCTACCATCGTTGCTGGATGGATAAAAAATTCAACTGTAAGGAGTCTTCGAGGGGTGTCCTATGATTTTGCAACGACTACAAAACTTTAAAAAATTGTCTAAAAATACGGAAAACTATTCGGATGATCTGGCTACTTATTTCTATATGTTTTTTATAGAGGCGGTTCTGATTCTACTAGTTGCGATAGACGGCTTTTTCTAGAAGCCGAGATATTCATATTTTGGGGGGGGGGGGTGTCCTATGATTTTGCAACGCACTGTAGGTGCGCCGGAAAGAGGACTGGGTGAGGTGGAGGGTATTTGTAAATAATTTCAAGGTATGCAGATGTAATTATTGAATGACACAATCGGAATTGTCAAAATTTCTCTGAATCCCCCTATCGAGACCACGAAATTTCTCAACATTCACTTAAACGTTCTCCATGTCTTCCAAAAATGCAATGCCCATACCGCCACACACTACATCCACGTGAGTTGACCAGAAATACAGCCAGTGGAGTCATGCTCAAGTAAAATTGATGGAAAAAAGAAAACTGATGCGACCCTTTTGATAGGTGTTTCAAAGTAACGCATTTCTATTCCTCTCACATCTAGATTTGAAGCAAGATTAAAAGTTCGGGAAAACACGATCGTATACCGTAATCCGCGTCGGCGCCGGAGCGCAGTTGCAAACCTCCAGCGCGTAACGCTAGTGCTAAAGTGCGAGTGACATCAATCGATGAGGCTACTCCGGCTCTCTAGGGCAGTAACCAAAAAATGGAGAAGCGTCGCAGCGTTCCCCTCGCCGCTTGCGCGGCTTCGCGTGCAGGCAAAGAAGAGTAGTCCCCACTGCCACCCCATCCAACGTGAGGCCAATCCGACCTGCGTGCCATCCGCCACCTCCTACATTAACGGCGCTCCGCGTAGTTGGTGAGTTTGCTCCTCGTTGAGAGAACGAAGTGTAAACAAGACTGGGAGGCGAGCACGCACTGGAAATCGGTGACACTTGACCCATGCCCCAGTCCCCACGCCTTCTCCCCGCTCGAATGATTACGGTATACCGTCTATGTTCATGAACATATAATTTTCTAGATTTAAATACATTTTGCACATTCAGTTTAGCAAAGCACGAGTTGAAAGTGGAGACAAGACAAGACAAGTAGAGCTGCCGCTTAGTGAATTACTGAGGACAATGAAGGAAGATCAAATATTTAATCTAACTATGCCCTCCTCCTGGACACTCTCAGAATAGCTTAACAGCTGTTTCAAATGTTAAGAAGTGTAAAACAGTGTGCTGGCCGACCACCGGTACTCATGGTATCATACGAACCCTCTACGCAATTAGATTCAAACGCGAATGCGCGATGCATTTCTAGAAAGGATCGATGAACAAGCACTTTATTCATTAGGCCTAGATCCATTAGAATAGTCCAGATTACATATGGGCACTGAGTGATTTATTAAATAACTGAACGATTCAATGGCTTCATTTTTCTCTTGACTTGATTAGAATACCAGTTTGGACTGCGAATTCAATATTCCCTTTGAGCATTAGATCCATTCTCTGTGAAATCGTTCACTGAAAGGCGGATGGTGCATCTCACAAACAGCTCTCTGAGGTGCACAACTCACTGTCCATTGCTGTCCATGCCTAGACTTGACCACTTCATGCCAGTAATTTTATGCAAATAACTATCAGGATTTACACCAACAAGATGTTGCGGCACGGTATTTCTAGAAGCGTTGCGAAGTGAATACGACCGTGGTGTGCGGTAGCACTCGAAGGCTTGTCGAGATATGGGCCCAACGGACTGATTGTGAGGACGTCGCCAAGCCATTTCACAAGATTTCGCGTCTACTCTCGTAGATTTTCGTGCAAACTTAGGGTGTTGTTCATTAGTGATAGTGAGATGCCGTTTGAAAACCGATTCGAAGCTATCAGTTATTCGTCAAAATCGAAGTTTTTCTGGTTTCCCTAAGTTGGACCCGCGTTGTAGAGTAAGATGCTCAACCGAACCGCTAATAACATTCACTTAGTTATCAATGGGCCTGTAAACCACAAATTTACTGAGCATTTTCGCGTATTTCATTCAGATAGTTTACGACCCTCCCATCTATCGTATCACCAAGGAAAACGACAGACCTATCGATAACTCCCCAGACGCGGCTAACCCTGCTAGCTACTCCCAGAATGTGACCGATTGGACACAACCACATTTATGTATAAGAATACGGCAGAATGCATGTTGCCGCCTACTTACTTCAATGGGCTCCGCCTCCTGTCTATTTGTCTGCTGTCTGATCTGTAAGACTGGATGAGTGTATTGTATGTATGCATGTATGTCTAAAACTTGGCATCACCTAAAGACCACCGATTGGGACGGGTGGGGCATCAACGAATTAGCTGAGAGCTCCACCTGCGGCGGGAAGGGGGCACAATATGCGTAACTGATTTAGCGAACTTCTTCATAGAGCCTCGTAAAGCGGTTCTGAGAAAGCTCCGCGACCGAAAAAATGGACAGAGGCAGGAGTACGGTAGCTCAACCATTGATGAGGGGAAATGGCAATAAGGAGGAAGGGTTTCCCCTTATAACTCCATTCTGAAACAGCGCAGACCCGAAAAAAGTCCGGGGAACTAGCGATAGATGGGAAATTAAACGGTGATGGGGACAGGGCGCGCAGCAAAGTGGGCGAAGCTCGAATTGAATACTCGTGGTTGGTTTCTGTACAACCCGGAAACTGTGAAAAAGTCGGCCGAGCTAAATGCTAGCGGTGGATGGAGCTAAGCTCGAGAGATTCGGTTGCCCGGTCGATGTTGCCAATGAACCTGAGAGATGCGCGATGGCCTGCCAGGCCAAACTAATAAGTAAATAAATAAAGAATGGAGACATTGCTCAATAACAGAGGATAAGCGTCACTCTATTCGATGTCCCGCCGTCAACTGAACGCTTCACGTCTCTCTACTCCTCTTCTCTCTGTCACTTCATTTTACCTCGTCTTTAATAGGGGCGCTAGTTCTGCCCTTGTGATCCTGTACCCGGCTTCGAGCGCGCAATTTACTAAAATATGAACCGCACACATCATAACTACAGGAAAACACCTTTTTGCATAGCCTTGAAAGACAATTATAATTTCCCCACGTGGTACTTCGGTATTTAAGTACTAAAGAAAGTAAGCTCAAATCATTAAATAGAAATTCTGCCTTACCTCTACAACGAACCTTGCCATGCTGAACTGCTTCTCATTTCTAGCACTATCAAGAAAAGGCATCGCTAAAAGCTCAGGGTATTTCGGGCGTTCGTGAGGGTTCTTCTCCAAACTAAAAACTTTGTTTGTAGTTTATATATATATAATGTACATATATAAGATATTGGTTAAAACAATGTATGTATTGGTGCTTCACTGACCAACGTTGGACAAAATACTGACAATCGGCGGAGAATGAGCCGTCAGAAGGCAGCCGAGGGGCAGGCTCCTCAATCACCTATAAAATGTGACATAGTGTCGAAAAAAATAGTATACAGAAAATGATCAAAACATAATAAAGTAGATCCTCTTCGCGGATCTTGCCCATGAAATGTTCCGCGTGAGGTAGGCTGCGGCTTGATGCGTGATACTGTCGTTGAAAGGACAACATGGGACTGAAAGCCACAACGTGCCTGCCCTAAAAAGCAGGTCGAATCGGGGATGAACCCTATACTGGTTGCAGCAAAGGTGACGAACGGGGAAAGGTTCACAGGTCAGTCCAACCAGTTGTAATAAGGTGTACAAGAGGCAATTTTTAGACGCTGCAAGCTAGTTCCAGACCTTTGCGCTTTTTATTCTTCATGCAAATTAACGAAGTATTTGTACGGAGTTCTTTCTTTATTTATGCCAAGAGAGAGCTTGGCTTGTCAGAAGAAGGTAAAATTTAAAAAAAATCAATTACAATAAACATTTCATTACATTTTTCCGTTCATTTTCCTATTTATTTTGCACGCATTCATAACTTCCATGGGAGCTTAAGCTTGTAGAGACAGATCCGAAGTATGCCTCTGAGAACGCATTTGGCGGTGTACAGTAACGTTCAAATATTCGGTGGACACTTTTTTCAGCCGTGATGTTTCTCTTGCGGATCAGTCTTTTTGGGGGTTCAGTATGTTTTGTAGAAACAAACTCCAGAAACAAGCTTCAAGACAAAGAAATATAAACCAACCAAACAACCGCGAAAGGCACAAAAGTGCTAAGAATTCAAAAATAACATTCGAGGTTGTAAAAGGAAAAAAAGCTGAGGAAATCTAAGATTAAGATCCTCAACTTCCGGATGCTGACAGCTTTGCGCTTTCTTCATCAAAGTTGTTCACATGATGTTTGGTTATTTGTTTCAGTCTATTTTTTTTATTTTTGTGGTGGAAAAATTTATGAGATATCAAAACCGTTAATACGAATAGACACAGAATACTAAAGCAGTAAACTTTGAGAACTGTATAACCTCTACGCTAATGATTATGTATAAATATTAATTACGATACGATATTAATCGGTTTTCCGGGTCGTTCCGAAATTCCCAGCCCGACTGTACCTCGTTTGTTTTATTACCAAGCATGTCGGTGAAAGGCTAGCAGAAATGAAAAAAAACCTATCCCTAAAATATGTTTTCAGTTGAAAAACCAGCTCAAGAATACTACTAACGTTTTCTACAGTGTAAGCGAGTAAGACTTGCTTTTACTTTCTCATTACACTTTCTTCTGATCGGCAGTCTACTACTGAACCCTCGAGTAACTTTTAGGCATTGAGCAGTTGTAAAATGGCTTTCTGCCATGCATGTTTCGCAGAGTTATCACTCAAAATCTAGAGTGTGAGGTGATTGGCTGCGCCGGCGAATCGCTCCCCTACCATGCAGCCAAACTGCCAAAACACGTGATGTCGTCAACGTGTTAATACGATTAATAAACATGTAATGCGACATAGAATATGGTAGGAAACCTTGAGAATTACACAACAAAAAATACTCTACAAACAGAAAATCTTCCCATTAAATGTGGTCATTTGAACGCTTGTCCATCATAAGAATGATATTCATCTGGTGTGTTGAGAAAGAAGAACGACTTTCACTAAGAATGGGAAAAATTCTATGGATAAAAGCAAAAATACCTGCTTCAATTGCTGGAAGGGTGTAACCCAGATTTCGTAGGGATAGTTTCCAGTTGCGATTTCCACCTGCAATCAAAAACGTAATTATTCCTCAATGTATGGCTTGTTTGACAGCAAGTGTTACAGCGTCATTCAACATAAAATGTTGGTAACGCCCAACTGCAAAGAAAAAACCCAGACACTGCAGACACACATGGTGAAAGTATTGCCAAGTCAATCCACATGTGGGCCAAAATTACGGTAAGCGCATGTGAGCACGATCAAGTGTAGATATTTTAAACGTCTCCATTTTCTTTTTTTTTCAGTGCATAATGTGATGGGGTGCATTGTCTTCTGGAGAAATAATTATGATCACCCAATAAAAACAGTGAAAGCACCACATCATATTATGCCAATTCCAACATTGCACCAACATTCTGATAAGGTACATCATCTAGCGAAAGTTCAACGTAACAAAGACTCGAATTGGCAAACACTGAATACATCGGGACCAGAATAGATCGGAACCAGCTCAGAGGAAAATGGCGAGGATTCGAGAGTTACCTACCAGGACAAATATCAAACACGAAAACTAATCCTCCTGAGATTTTCATTGCCCAAAAAATTGATGCAAAAGCTACTTTGACTCAAAGGCCTCGATCATGGACAAAGAGCCACTTAATTAAAATTCTTTGACTTTCTAGTAGGCCAGGGGATTTAAACAGCGCCATCCCTCGTCAGGTGACGTTCTGTATAAATGCAAATGGCAGGAGAATTCAATCCCAACCTTGTTTCGCTTCATGAGATGAGGGACAGCTTTTTTGTTCTATTACGTACATATTCGTTTTCAACAATTTGATAACTTCGTTACCACAATTTGGCCAAAACTGTAGTGAGCAGGCCTTTCAAATCCTAGCACCAAATTTGACTTCTCTTCAGAAACGCACCAGAGTGATCCCGAGACTCCAAACGTCAGCTCTCACGTCATAGGAACCTTTCATGTCGCCGTCAATTCGTTCAGGTGGCATATAGAATTTACAACCAGCAGCAACTGTCTGGAACAGCATTTCTAGCAGTCGAACAACCGCAATTGATGTTTATACAAAATCAATTCAAGTTCAATAGCGGAAATATAACATGGCTTGCTAGCAGGTTCAGCAGCCGTGTTTGCACATCAAACCACTTCATGGATCATGGCTTATATACTTACGTATGTATATACTACAGAATAAATACAAACAACTTGTGAAGAAGCCTTGCATTCGCTAGAAGAGCGGATGATGAGGGTGAGGGTCCCCGTCCCCGACGGAATCCCAGACCGGGGACAACTTTCATTATTGTGGATTCGTTACCGGCCGTTGTCAGGGACGAATCGACAATTGACGGGAATTCTTTCGTAATTTATTCACTTTCGATAAGTTGAGTGAGCTTACCTTTGCTAGGCTGTTAGTAAGGTGTCCTGATATGCCAAAGTCGCATATTTTCACCTGTCCATGCCGATTAAGCAGAATATTCGATGGCTTCACGTCACGATGAATTAAATTCATATCCTCTTTCATGAAGTTAAGACCTTCAACAACCTTAAAAAGAAGGTTGCAATAAAACGGATCGATGCAGTTCTCCTAACCACTCTGACATACCGACAACGTCACTTTGGCTATGAATGGCTCAGGAAGTCTCCGTCCAAGCGCATTGCATTTCTTGTAGAACTTGTCAAGCGATGTATCCATTACTTCCATGCAAATCCAAACATCTCCTTCGCGGAACATTGCACCGTAGAAACGTACCATCTGATGAAGTGCAGTCATTAACTTATATTCACCGAGTACGGTTTTGAATCTCTGGAATTTAACTATGGGGCGCATTTGTTAGGTGGGCGCGGACCGATTTCTGATAACAAGTAATTCATATGCCAAACCATTACCGTCTATACTGTTCCGAAGCAATGTTACATAAGATAGAAGTTAACAGCGCAAGAATATCGTACATTTGTTGGGTTATGTTAACTTCCGAATCTAATAGCTTTTTTTCGTTTGCTTACGACTCGTATAACGAGCATAACGGCAAACAAAAGAAAAATTGTTAAAGATTAAAGTTAATGAGAAGTCGGAAGACAGTTGTCCACAAATGAAGTATTTTACTGGAACAGACAAACGTTCAGCAGACACTCAAGCTAAATAATGTGACCTACCTGAGGACAGCAATCACTTCGTTTACAGGCGTCGAGTTCGGTTAACATTCGTTTCTGAGATTCATCGTTGATTGAGGAGGAAATTCGCTGAAATCCTTTTTAAAGTGGATTCACAACAAGAGAACAATAATGATGGCAGCTTGAAAATTCTGAAAAGCCGCTCGTATATATGCAAAAACAACACGTATACAGCTATTGATTGTTCAAGTTACACATAAGAGCAGACCGCTGCACATAAACCTAAGAGTGGCCGACAAACATAAAGAACAGCAAATTACCAAGGCTGTTTACAACCTGAGACTTAAAAAATAGTCGGAGCCCGAAAAAATAATAATAAAATCCATAATAAGAATTGGAAACAGGAAAATTGTCTAAGCAAAAGGCAGCGCAAAGGGTCAGTACATGTCCACTCAATCGATTTCCTCTCATAATTTCTTCTCGGCGCTTGAGAAAAACCAGTGCATCGCGAAAGCGGTTTACCGGAAGGGTCAACCGTCCGTTCAACCAAGCTCAACGCTCTAATTTTCTAGTTTTTTTTTTGAGGGGGTGAAGAATTGGAAAAAGTCGAGTCTGAAGAAAGCCATAGTCATTGAATGGAAAAAGCCGAGTCTGAAGAAGGCAAGAAAGGCAAAAAACCCGCTTGTGCACAAAAAAAAACGGTCCAATACGCGATTTTTGGAAGAAATGGAAATTTGCAGGCTTTAGTAGTTTTTAGAGAGAGCACAATCTGTAAAAATCATCAGGTTCAGATTTTTAATTCGCTATGCTTTCGTGGAGCGAGACGGCTTCAATTATTACCTCCAGACTTGCAACTGGCACAAAACACCGATGCGTTCAGAAGAAAATTAAATTGTGTTTACTTTAAGTCGATGTTTCCCATTTTATAATGATTTAATTTCTGACTAATTATTGTAGCCACCTTCGAGTGCATAGTAATAAATAACAATAAATAAATAAATCTGTGCTTTATCTTGAATTTTTTTTTAACCACCCCTCATATTTTTTTTTACTTGAAGAAAACTACGAACTTTTGAATGAAAGAGTGCGCATTCCTCTTAATTCTTAATTCGCAGACTTCATAGCCGAGTTTCAAGGATGCTGCTAACAGATCACATAGCGATCTATCGGAATCGTCTTCCTGTTCGATCTCCTTATGAAGGCAAAGCAAAAAGCATGAAAGCATTTTACAACCCTAGCTGCGTGACCGCACACGCCATCCCTTTCCATCTGAAAGCCCATGAAAACGCAGTAGTTGGCAGATCTCAATTCACAAATTTGACTTTGCTTTGTGATAAGAGCGACAAACACTTCTGATGTTTGTTTGCCCATCAGGCTACTATGCGTTTTTGAGGAAATAATGTTTTGTCCTCATAAGTTTGGCGCTAGCTCAGTGGAGAGTGTTGAACACAATCGAAGTTTGCATTAGTGTTTACAGCAGTTATTGCTCAGCCTTTACGGCCATAATAATCCCCGACTGTCGATGACGCATCTTTTCCACAACTCCATAGCCACCTTTTCCCAACTCTTCAAGAACCTGAATATAAAAACAGTTCGAACACGTCCTATTAGAATGCTTAGAACAACCTTAACAAGTAATTTAAACAAACCTCTAGATCTTTCGCCGCGATCTCGATTTCCTCCGAATCATTTGTAACCTGGAAATGGTAAGGTGTTGGCAATATTGCTAACTGATAATTTTGGCTCAGTTTCATCAGTTTTGAAATTCACATGAACATAATGGAAATTTTTACACGTGCTCAATTGAGACTCGGATGCTTGGTTTGAAGCGTCTTTCCACGCTCATTGATGTGATGTGCGTATGTGACTGATGCGGACATATTAAAACAATACGAACGTGGTTATAACAAGTCGAAGTATTAGGTTTTCAGAAAGTTCTGTCGTTTTCTGACATTCCACTTTTGGATGCTTTAATTCCTTGAAATCTAGGAAAAGCTGAATTGATGTTGATGTCATTTTGAAGAACTTTTCCAGCTCTATCCAATGCTCAGCACAACTTTATCCTAAAATATTTTCTTATAGCTTTTTCAAAAGCTTTGAATTCAGTATACTCGAGGAGGCAAGCTGGCATGGCTTTCTTTTCTAGCTTTAATAGACCTGAAAAGTGGCGGGATCAGTTCAAGATATCAACGATGCTTTGGGCCTAGATTTGCAATAAATGTGCTCAGAAGCAGTAGTTAAAAAATTTATTGTAAGGAAGGCGAGAGCCTTGAATATGATGAGAGTAGTGGTCGGACATCGGACGTGTCCTCCGATTAGCCAAAAGTTCTGATTGAAGCACTTGTGCGTAAGACCATAGAAGAGTTCTGCCCAACTGGGCGTATATGTTTTGGTAAGCGCCAGCTAAACGAAGAAGCTGGAAGTCTAAAAAAGGAATAGTGGCGTGCCGCGACAAATCACCAATTTGAAGCATTCGTCCATCAAATTGTCGCTGGTTTTATGTGTGAAACTCGTTTCTCTACAGATTTGCGACGTACAATAAAGAGCGGATTCTCTGCTGAATAGATCGATGGCGATGAGCTCTATCAAGCTTTGCAGAATTTAAACTGTGCTGGAGGAGGGTTTGTGGCAGCTTTCATGGGGCCAGCGGCTAAGCCATGTTCTTCAAGTATCAGATGGAACTGTTACAGTGGAGAATCAATCTTTATACTAATTCAAAAATCATCAAAAACTCTATGGAAATGGGTCCAGCGATTCCTCATTATCAAAGGAACACACACATCCCTGAAAGGTGTCTTGAACGCACATCGCACGGCCAACCCTTCACAAGTTGTACCAGCTGAACTTCAGAGTGGTTCTGCGAACATCTTACTTAGTAGACCCTTGAACTATCTACTGTCAACTTCTGACGATCTCGATAGCTTCCTTGAAGAGAAATACATCCAAAAACAACATTAGCTAGAAACGACCTCCCTCAGTTCATCGCCTCCAGAGGTCCAGCATTCCAAATAAACGTACCCTGTTGAACGGTTTCTTATAGAACAAGATTCGCGCTTTCAAATGGTTTTTTAGATCAACTCGAAAGGTTTAGCCAAGCCGAGATACGTGCATTAAAATTAGGGGCTGGAAAACGACAGAACTTTCTGAAACAACCTAATATAATATATGGACAATTCCGAGAATACGGCTCATATTGGCTCGCAGTCGCGTCGCCTCGACAATGACTGATCGCCTCCGTCTTCGACGAAAGGCGGGAAGAAATTTATCTTGGCTATGTACGGAGGCTTGTAATCAACCGTGCTTAGTAAAGAGTTAAAACTGCGAGCTCAAAGCCCTAGAACCACCCAACAAGACACAGAACAAAAGACAGCGGAAGAGAAGGTTGGAGGAGTCGGTCGCACCAGAATAGAGCGAAAATAAGAGGGAATGACGATTCAATCGCGCGCGTCGACCTTGCGCGCGATTGAACTGCTGGCAGCTCGCGGTGTCTCGTCGGCTACTGCTAGATTTTAACACATAAACAAATTGAGTATAAGAGCTGAACGTTCTTCCCTACCGTAGGAGCTGTCATTGTGGAACGCAGGCATGACTTGGTGCGTAATGAACTCTCCGCCCCCCCCCATAAGTCCCGTTTCGGAGGACACCATGTTTTTCGTCAATTGCAAAGGCCTACTTTTACGGCCGGGCGCTAAGAAGCGCAACGTTCCGTATGCCAGAACAAATATTTATGTCAAAAATGCGGAAGCTAGTGTCACCTGCGAGAAGACCGCAAATGTAACAGAAGAAGAGTACCGTTATTTTGCACTTGTCGTCTAGGTTCAGATTCGGAGTCTCTTGCGGCTTGGCATCTCAAGTTTGAATCGATTTTTCACTGAATTCAAGGTTATTTACATATTTTTTTAACACAAAGTGCAGTTTCACTTCTATTTCATTCCTATTAGGGAAATCGCAATTAAATGCCACTTGTGTAAAAAATATTAGATAACCTTGAATTCCAAGTGAAACAATCGATTCAAACTTGAGGATGCCCAACGCAAGAGACCCCTTGAAATCTAGGAAGCTGCAATTGATGTTGATGTCATTTTGCGAACTTTTCCAGCTCTATCCATATGCTCAGCACAACTTTATCCTAAAATATTTTCTTATAGCCTTTTTCAAAGAGCTTTTGAATTCAGTATACTCGAGGAGGCAAGCTGGCATGGCTTCTTTTTCTAGCTTTAAATAGACCTGAAAGTGTGCGGGATCAGTTCAAGATATCAACGATGCTTTCGGCCTAGATTTGCAATAAATGTGCTCGAAAGCAGTATTTAAAAAATTTATTGTAAGAAGGCGAGAGCCTTGAATATGATGAGTAGTGGTCGGACATCGGACGGTGCTCCGATTAGCCAAAGTTCTGATTGAAGCACTTGTGCGTAAGACCATAGAGAAGGTTCTGCCCAACGTGGCGTATATGTTTGTAACGCCAAGCTAAACGAAAAGCTGGAAAGTCTAAAAAATCGATAGTGCGTGCCGCGACAAATCACCAATTTGAAGCATCGTCCATCAAATTGTCGCTGGTTTTATGTGTTGAAACTCGTTTTCTCTACAGTTTGCGACACGTACAATAAAGAGCGGATTCTTCTGTGAATAGATCGATGGCGATGAAGCTCTCCAAGCTTTGCAGAATTTAAACCTGTGCTGGAGGAGGGTTGTGGCAGCTTTATGAGGCCAGCCTAAGCCATGTTCTTCAGTATCAGATGGAACTGTTACAGTGGAGAATCAATCTTTATACAATTCACAAAATCATCAAAAACTCAGGAACGATGGGTCCAGCATTCCTCATTATAAAGGAACACACACACATCCCTGAAAGGTGTCTTGAACGCACATCGCACGGCCAACCCTTCACAAGTTGTACCAGCTGAACTTCAGAGTGGTTCTGCGAACATCTTACTTAGTAGACCCTTGAACTATCTACTGTCAAACTTCTGACGATCTCGATAGCTTCCTTGAAGAGAAATACATCAAAAACCAACATGATGCTAAAACGACCTTCCCTCAGTTCATCGCCTCCAGAGGTCCAGCATTCCAAATAAACGTACCCTGTTGAACGGTTTCTTATAGAACAAGATTCGCCTTTCAAATGGTTTTTTAATCAACTCGAAAGGTTTAGCCCAAGCCGAGATACGTGCATTTAAAATTAGGGGCTGGAAAACGACAGAACTTTCTGAAACACCTAATATAATATATGGACAATTCCGAAGAATACGATGACCATATTGCTCGCAGTCGCGTCGCCTCGACAATGACTGATCGCCTCCTCTTCGACGAAGCGGAAGAAATTTATCTGCTATGTACGGAGGCTTGTAATCAACCGTGCTTAGTAAAGAGTTAAAACTGCGAGCTCAAAGCCCTAGAACACCCAACAAAGACACAGAACAAAGACAGGGAGAGAAGGTTGGAGGAGTCGGTCGCACCAGAATAGCGAAATAAGAGGGAATGACGATTCAATCGCGGCGTCGACTTGCCGCGATTGAACTGCTGCAGCTCGCGGTGTCTCGTCGGCTACTGCTAGATTTTAACACATAAACATTGAGTATAAGAGCTGAACGTTCTTCCCTACCGTAGGAGCTGTCATTGTGGAACGAGCATGACTTGGTGCGTAATGAACCTCTCCCCCTCCATAAGTCCCGTTCGGAGGACACCATGTTTTTCGTCAATTGCAAAGGCCTACTTTTACGGCCGGGCGCTAAGAAGCAACGTTCCGTATGCCAGAACAAAATATTTATGTCAAATGCGGAAGCTAGTGTCACCTGCGAGAAGACGCAAATGTAACAGAAGAAGAGTACCTTATTTTGCACTTGTCGTCTAGGTTCAGATTCGGAGTCTCTTGCGGCTTGGGCATCTCAAGTTTGAATCGATTTTTCACTGGAATTCAAGGTTATTACATATTTTTTACACAAGTGCATTTATGCGATTTCCTAATAGGAATGAAATAGAATATGTACAAACCCCTATTTTTGATGATCAACATATAGCAGATTTTTTAGCCAATTGCATCAGACTATCGTGATTTTTGTGCTTGTACGACACCCATTTACCTAATTCCAAATTCAGACCGCCTATTTACAGCCACTCCACTGGCGCGCCTTTTTTACGGCCACTCCACTTGATAGAAGCCGTGTGGATAAGCTGCTCCTAACATACTTCAATGGATATCAGCAAAGAATGTTGGAAGCAGCTTATCCGCGCAAGTTTTATCAAGTGGCGTGGCTGCCATGTCATCCAGTGACATGTTCAATCAGTCTTCGAGATATGGGCTATACCCATTATGGCTTTCCATTGGGTAGCGTCTGTCCTAGGTGAAGTGGTCATTGCTATTTTGCTGTCGTCAATTAAGATTGTTTAAATTCTCTTTAATTTTGCGGTCTTCAGACACTGCTTTGCAGAGCTCTTCATTAGCCTGGATAGTTGGCATTTGTTAAGATGAACTGATGTAAGATTTCAACAAATGTGATATCTCAGTAGCTTCTTATAGGTCTGACAAACCTATTAAGACAGCAAACGCTTATTAATGAACCTTATAAGGGAAGAATCCTCATCCAAAAAATTTGCTGAAGAGAACGTATAAATAAGAGCTTCGACAACACGTTCATTTGAAGTAAATCTCCGAAAAGCATCGGCTGGTTCACCCTCAAACAGAGCGAAGGGGCGACCCTAGGCTTTGTGCCTTGGCCGGTGCTGTATCACGTGCGAAGAATTGGACTGAATGGCGCTCAGGAGGCTTCACCGACCCTCAGCAGAAAAATACTTAGCGCTGTCGCAAAGTACGAGGACACCCTCGAAGACTAAGCCTAGGAAGGAAAAGCAACTTCGAGAAAAATGAAAACTGCTCATGCCATGTCCCTTCTCCCTGCCTAGCCTCAGTCCCGTTTTGAACAAAGAGGGAATGTTTAACGCGGTTACAAATGCAATGCCACCACAGTGTCCCCGTATCTCGCATTAGCGTCAGTTTCCCAAGATGTGCGACTTGACGAACTCTTATCATTAGCACGTAAGATATCCTTACCACTACGGCCCCCTGCCTTTATACTCACCCACAACAATTTTTCTCATGATCGTCATTAATCCTTCAATAATTACAACACTAGTAATTAATGCATTGTTTTCTGTATAAGATATGTATACAGACAGATTTGGAATACAGTGCCAAACAAATCGAACAAAACGAGCCTGATCCGCGTGAAAACCTGACGCGCATGCGAGTCATGCTGTATTAATGTGTTAAGACTCTCTGATGCCGGTTGACGCCAAATCCATAGGGAGACATGGAATAATGAGGCAAGGTTATCGAGTGAACCATGTGGGGTCCTAAGACATGGGATCGGCCAAAACCAAAAAAAAAACGATCAGGCGAGCAGTCAAATCGAGAAGGAAGAACTACATAGGGAGGCGAAAACCCTTATCTAGAATTGATTTTGTCTACTTGGGGGGAACGTAACGATTTCAAAGGAAGCGTTTCGCTAACAAAGTCGGCTCGCATACCATAGATTGAGCATCTAGATGATTGCCACATAAATAGAGCTGGATCCTAATGCTCAGATCGAAGTAGCTACTTGCAGCAAGACATGAGTCACTACACGCGATTTCGGTAGTCGATCACGAATCTATCATACGGTATTCTTACAATTAGATACAACCCACTGTAAATTCAAGTAAAATCCCTTGTGTGAGTGGAACAACTTTCCACGAAGGTTGCAGATGTGCCGTTCTTTCGGCGGGAAGCTAAGTATTAGGTCGGTCCATAAGTTTTGAGAACCTTTGGTGTTTTTCGACTTAATTACTTATTTTATTTCTCTGATGTATTTATCCAGCACAGTGTACATCAGCATTATTACCAACATATCATCAATGCGGTGGTAGTTGTTCAACGTCTCTCTTGCAGAATTCCATAGAGTTCTGATCGAAGAAATATTGGATGTTGATTTTGACTTTATGGTGATTCAAGTGAGATTTCTTCTCCAGAAAGTGATTGAGAAGGGAGAGCGGATAGTTGTTCGTTGACGCAGGATTAGTGCTACGCGGCGGAGCTAAAGGAACTGACCGCCCGAGAGTCTGCAATTTTTTGGGAATATTCTTAGCAAGGCGGGCTCAAACCACCTCAGAAAAAATAGATTCGTCTTCCTTTGCTTTCAAGTTGAAGGCGGTGCCATCAAGCTGTCAACGATTCTTCCCATCACTGACACTCGTATTAGTTGATGCCGGTTCAGCGCAAAGGCCCTCCCGTATTGTGCCAACGACTCAGGAAGTTCGCATTCAGAGGGAGTTGGGCTTTTACTTTCAGAACTCCGATTCGTTTAAGCAAATCTACGCTCGCTGCTCGCGGATTTGTTAGCACACTGCACCTAGTCCACATCACCAATGAGTACTATAGATGGTCATCCGAAGGAATTATGGGAACCAACAGGATTTTGATGATGTCAGATTGGGTTGGGAACTGATTGGGGACTACAATTTTCCTTCGATCAGAACTCTATGAAAGTCCACAATAGAGGCACTGAATACCCACCTTCGCATTTGGTGATGTGTTGTTAATAATAATGATGTATACTAAGCTGGATAAGTAGATCAGAGAAATAAGATAAGTAATGAGTCGAAAAACACAAAAGGTTCTCAAAAATTGTGGACCGACCTAATAAAAGGCCGAACACGGTATGGATATGGATCGCTTGTGGAGCGTATGTTGACGCGCGCTTCTAATCGTCCGTTATAAATGTCAGGAGAGGAAGATCAGAATTATCTAAGTCCTTTTCCTACTTGTTAGGATCGATTAGCGATTCTTACGATTTCTACAAACCGTTCGAAATTGTGGGAGATTTTCCAGCTGACGCAGAAAATACGTTAACCTTGGAAAATATGACAATTAATTGCTAAATCTTATTATTTACATTCTATGCAGAGAACACATGTGGCATATATAAGCAATTATATTTCGCATTTTCCTTTCGTTTCGCTAAACTCACACCTGACCGCACCGGAACTAACCCATCTTCCGACAACACCGAAGGAGCGTCAGAATCAAGCGATTTTAAAAGGAGAATGGGGCATGGCCCCGCAAGAAACGACGTTCAAAAAGTTGGTGGCCTAAAAAAAATCGGGCTGCATTTTTTAGTGTATGCCTAGGCGACAGAATCCGAGGATATTTTGCAATGTCAGCACGCATGAATATAGCCAGTTACGAGCATATTACATACCAGCAAAACAAATGTTGTGGTTCATAGATACCATTGCTCGACTACAAATTAGTCTCAATTTGGCTGAATGAATGAACTTCAAGGAGCACATCTATATTACTTTCACCTTTTCATAGATATCCTATGTGCTACAGAAGACCTGCACACAGCTCTCACAATAAAAACAGTCGCCTGCGATAACATAGCTGTAAAAACACTTCTCTTCCAGTGTTGCAACACGAAAATGAATGTAGCGACCACTACAATTGTCGGTCAATCGCTTTAGATCGCACTTTACCAAATTGACGACACGCCGTTGTGCGCGCATCCCATCGTTTTTTCATAAATTGGCATAGGGTTTACCGACTACTTGATTTTTCCTCAATGGTCCCGCCGTGATGGCTAGAGCACAGACGATTAGAGAATGCCCTAAGACTAAGCCTTGGAAAGGAGAGGAACCTGCTAGAGAGCGCAGAGGCGGTAAAGGGCTAAGTTCAAGTAGTCCGTCAACCGACAGATACTACTTCAACAATAATTTCATTACTCATGATGAGTGAACTGTTTTTTGTATACCACAGCGGATATGTGCAATTTTGTAACACAAAAAATGGAGGCAAAAACCAGAAAGAGAGCCTCCACCGTGCGTGGGATATATGTGTGCGACGCTGTCGTCGATGTGTTAAATTTATTCAGTCCTTGGGCTTTCCTTTTCTACAGTTTTACCAAAATTTAGCGACTTCTCTTCGACCAAAAGGACTGTATTGAAGAACAATTGCAGTACAAAATTATATGTCACGTTATAGTAACCATCAAGAGACCGCAATTGAAGCTGGGAACTATTATTTATATAGTAATCAATTGGAATATTTTCACGATGCTTAACATTAAGTGGTTGGAAACTAAGAAATGCACGGCAGCTAATCAATATCGTTTGGTAAACAAAGAAAACGATTGTTGGAGAGCCACTTCCCACGCCTCACAATTAAAAAAAATAGTATTAAATGAACGGTTAAACCAACTAACTTCCAGACATTGCGATGACCATGTGGTAGCTGACATAAATACCTGCAAAACCATACATAAAAACGAATAAAAAACTTTAAAAAAACAGCGAAAGAGAAAGCGGCATTAAGAACGGTGGGGTGGTGTAGAATTATCGAAACTTCAATAGCTGCTCATCTTGACAGCAAAAGTATGCTGGGCATACTACGTAAAAATTGGTACGCTCCGGAGGATTAGGACAGATTCTAATGGAACCGTACGCTGACTACCACTTAATTGCGAAATATCTCATTATAAAAACTTCATGACATTCATTTGGATTTGTAATAAAAGAGTTTCTTTTCACAATGAGGTTCAAAAACTGGGGCATGTTTAAGTATACGCAGTAAGCCACTTATTTCAAGAAAAGTCTCCGATAGGAGCTAACATTGACGGTTATAGAAACAAAGTCGACCACATCGTTCATGACAAACAGCTTAAAAACAACTCTAACCCTTGTCAATAACTTAAATTACAGTACCCGATTTAGGCGTCAATTAGTACTGTCAGCTGTTGATCGCACAACCGACGCCTTACTTCACGCCAAATAGTCTGCTCATGCACACAGTGAAAATTTCGAGATAAATCACGCTGTAGTGTGGCTCCGGGGGGGGGGGGACAGTCCGTAACTGCGTCAAATTCACGGTTACGGGGCAGCGGTCAACCAACGTGTGCGAGTCCAGACAGAAAAGCACACGGCTGGGACTAAGCCTTTCGAAGGAGGGAAAGAAAGCAGAGATGCTGTAATAGTGCGTATGTGCGAGAGTCCTAGAGAACACTACAAAACACTGAATCACCAAGCCATCCGGTTGACCATTGCCCTTATACGCAAATTCACCTAAATGTCCATTTCTAAGGGGGGGGGGACTAAGTCTCAAAGAATCCGAAGTGCGTAAGCTGAAGGTGTTTTTTTTGGTTGATAACTCTATTTAATAGCTACACCGGCGGTGAAGTTCCCCTTCAGTTGTTGTGGATACTTGGAATCCCAGTTGATATTACGGATACGACATACGGCCGATATTTGGTAATCCAAAGTTGCTAATGCAAGTCTAATAGAAAAACAGCCGTTCCAACTATAATAAGCGAACTTATAGTCGCGAAATACGTCGGCCCCCAGACAATACCTAACCATTGAGGCGCGGCCGCGGCGAACGCGGCCGAGTCGATTGTGCCCGCGAAGCGTTGGAAACGCACCCAAGGTGCCCGCGAACTGTGCTGTGCCGAGTTCGCGGCTCCCCCACTTTCTTCACGGTTTGGGGCGCGGCCGCGGCGAGCGCGGCCGAGTCGATAGTGCCCGCGAACTGTGGTGGGGAGGGGTTTTTTAAATTTCCCACACAGTTTCCGGGGACTATCGCGATG